TCGAGAGGTCATCGAGTCCAGTCCCCTGCCCTCATGGCAGGACCAAATACTGTCTAGACCATCCCTGCTAGACATTTATCTAACCTGCTCTTAAATATCTCCAGAGATGGGGATTCCACAACCTCCCTGGGCAATTTATTCCAGTGTTTAACCACCCTGACAGGTAGGAACTTTTTCCTAATGTCCAACCTAAACCTCCCTTGCTGCAGTTTAAGCCCATTGCTTCTTGTTCTATCCTCAGAGGCCAAGATGAACAAGTTTTCTCCCTCCTCCTTAGGACACCCTTTTAGATATTTGAAAACTGCTCTCATGTCCCCCCTCAATCTTCTCTTTTCCAAACTAAACAAACCCAATTCCTCCAGCCTTCCCTCATAGCTCATGTTCTTTAGACCTTTCATCATTCTCGTTGCTCTTCTCTGGACCCTCTCCAATTTCTCCACATCCTTCTTGAAATGCGGTGCCCAGAACTGGACACAATACTCCAATTGAGGCCTAATCAGCGCAGAGTAGAGTGGAAGAATGACTTCTCGTGTCTTGCTCACAACACACCTGTTAATACATCCCAGAATCATGTTTGCTTTCTTTGCAACGGCATCACACTGCTGACTCATATTCAGCTTGTGGTCCACTATCGCCCCTAGATCCCTTTCTGCCGTACTCCTTCCTAGACAGTCCAGGTGTGGGCAGGCCCAAGGTTCGGGCATTAAGATATTTTCTCTTTGTCTCTCCCTTGACATGGGGAGCAGGTGGGATGTTTTGCTGCCTTGCGAGTGCTCAGGGGTCCCAGCGCTTTTCCACTTGCTGGGGAGCGAGCTAGGAAAACGTGGGCTAGACAGAGCCCCCATCGCGTTTCCAAAGGACCTTTTGGGAATTCTTCCCCCCGCGTGGGTGGGTGCTGGCAGGTGGCTGAGGAAGGGAAATCCTGGCTGGTGATAGGGAGGAGCAGGGCCTCTTTGAGAACGGGGGTGGCCCCAAGAGGGGGATTTTCACACGCCCCACGCTGGGGCTGTGGGACTGACTGACCCTGCTGGACAAGGGCTCTGTGGTGTATGTGAAACGAGTCACGCACAGTCCAGCTCCTGGCTCGTGGGTGCCCCCTGCAGACAAGAAACTCAGCCGTACGTTGCCCCTCGCAGGCTGTGGGGCCCTCTGCCCTGGGGAGGCGGCTGCTGTCGGCTTGGCCTGCCACGCTGCCTGGGGCTGGCACAGGTGGGAGCTGGCGCGGATACTCGCGGCCGAAAGATGGAGGCTTCTCCCCTCCCCCCCGGAGCAAGCGCCCGCCTCTGCACGTCTCCAGCACTGTCTAGCCGCAATTGCTTGTGCAGCTGCCCTAAGGCCAGAGAGCGCACAGGGAAGAGAGGTGGCTGCCGCATCTATTCATTAAAAAGAGCAACCGAGAGGAAAGAACGACCCGGCTCCCCACGCTACTCGCCCCGAGCCTGTAGATGACAGCCCCGCGCTGCATAGCTACCGGGGGGTGCTGCAGGCGCAGCCAGCGGTGTGGCGTGCAGGAGCAGGGCTGGCTGGGGAGTCAGAGGAAAGTGGCCGGTTTAGAATCTGCCTCTGTCTTAGGTGAGGGAAATGGGGGGGCAGGTTTTTCAGCTCTCCCCAGGCATGGGATTGGAATTCATGTTCCCGTCACTATCCCGCAGTGAGCCGGCAGTTGCCTGCCACGCCCTCTGCTGGAGGAGATCGGGGCTCAGCTGTGTGCCAGGCCCCGTACTGCGAACAACAGATGGAGATTCTCCTTTAGAGACGGCTGGACTGGAGAAGAGCAGGGCTGTCGGAGACAGTAGAGGACTCTGAAAGGATGAGCGGGGGACAGATAGAACGGTGCAGCCCAGCCCTGCCTCCCCCCTACCCATGCCCAGCACCTGCTCCCAGGGGCGGGGGGTGGCACCAGAGTCACGCACTGTCCCAGGCTCCACCTGTCACCCGGCTCCAGCCATGGTTTGCCCTAGGTTCCCAATGGCTCCCCTGTCCGCTCCCACCCGCAGCACCCCTGGCACGGGGGAAAGCAGCCCCGTGCTGGAGCGGCGTAGGGCAGTGGTCTGGCATGAGGCGAGCGCAGTCTGCCCCGGGGGAGGGGGCTGCGCCCTGGCAGGCAGATTTCTCTCTCCACGGCGGCTGGGAAGCTCTGAGCAGCCCGGGGAGGGCAGCACGACATCCAAAGTGGCCGTAGGTTTGTGCCCGGCCAGCTGACAGGCCGCAGGGGTCTGCTCTGCGATGGGAGCGGGGGCTGCTCTCAGCCGCGGGAAGGACTGGGAGTTCCTGCTTTGTTAGGTGGAGCTCCCCGGCCTCTGTCACTGGCCGCCTGGAGATGCCAGGGGCGGATCTCCTGAGAGCATTGGCACTGCTGTCACACAACAGGGAAAGTGAGGCATGACGTGGCCAGGCCCTCAGAGAGAGGGGGCCGAAGCCAGGGCTAGAATTGCCAATGTGGGTCAGCTCCCTCGTCCGTCTAGTCCAGGCGCCTGACCCAACAGTGGCCTGCACCCGACAGCCCGAGGGATGGGCAAGGGCCCCGGTACTGAGTGCCATGGCTGTACTGCCTACCCACTGACAGCTAGTGGCTGCTTTCCTGAGCACTTGGTTTGTTCTGAACCCGTGTTCCTGGCCCTCTGGCTGTTCTCGCTGCCCGGCCCTTTTTGTGAATCCCTCCGCACACTTGGCTTCCCTGAAACCTTGTGGCAATGAGTTCCACAGGCTAATCAAGCCTTCTGTGCAAAAGTATTTCCTTTCTAGCCTCCTTAAATGGGCTCCCCCCCCCATGTCACTGAACATCCTGTATTGAGATGTGGGCTGCCAACCCACCTGGTTTTGCGAAGAGTCTCCCGGAATTGGGCTTAATCTCCCGATTGAGGCGGAAAGCTAAGGATTAAGGCTACTGAAGTTACTCTGGGAGATTTTAAACTACTAAAACTCCTGCGATGCAGCAGGGCTAAGGCAGGCTCCCTGCTTGCCCTGATCCTGTGCTGCTTCCAGAAGCAGCTGGCATGTCCCTGCAGGCCCTAGGCGGGGAGAGGCAGGGGGAACAAGAGGTCACTGGGTGCTGTCCCTGCCCCATGCATGGCTGCTGCAGCTCCCATTGTCCAGAGACCATGGCCAATGGGAGCTGGGGGGTGGTACCTGCAGGCATGAGCATCTTATGGAGCCACCTGCCCCTCCCCAGCTCCCCATAGGGCCCATACCCTCCCTCCTTGCCACGTCCTGGTGAGAGTGAGGGTGGGGAAGAGCAAACAAAGGAGGGAGGGGGAAATGGAGTGAATGGGGGCGTGGCCTCAGAGAAGGGGTGTGGCCTTAGGGCAGAGGCAGGGCAAGGGCGTTTGGGTTTGTGTGAGGAGACAGCTGGCAACCCGGCTGTTCCTGGCTCCAATAAACAGCCCAGGCCACTAAAAATGTCTTTGGGCCTTTCTACCGAAGTGGGTTCAAGGAACGTCCGAAGCTCTTCTCAGGCACCTCTGGAGTGTGTGTGAGACAACCGGCCCAGAGCAAAGCCGGAGGGCCAGCCTCCCATGCAGTTTGCGGGGCTGGCGGGAGGTGCTGCAGCCTCAAAGCTGCCGAAATACTGCACGTCTTTTGTCCGTCTCTCTAATGGACAAACCCTGATCCAACCTGCCCTGTGCTAGGCCAGCAGCTCCTGCCTCAAACGTAGGCTGGACAGGAGGGAGAGAATTGCGGAAGGAAGAATTTATTCTCCGACAAGTAATTTACATGACAAGTAATTTACAAGGAAAGGCCAATGGTTTCTGCTGCTGTGCCTGCTTTGCCCAGGTGCCTCGGTCTCCCGGAGCAATCAGACCTTGGCTTATACCGCCCCCGACAAGTAGCTTGTCAGGACGCCGACCAAGCCGGGAAAAAACAGAAATATAAACACGGCTAAACACAAAGGCTCGAAATACAAAGAGGAGACTCTCCCGCACACATACACACAGCTCACACACATCTGCTGAGGGCAACAGGGTTTTAGATTCTGCAGATCCAGGCATGAATTAAAACCATTACCTGGGTGTACGGGTGTGATACTCCCGTGGCTACTGGTATCCCCCCGGCCCCCGCTGTGTGTGGCAGCCGGGCACTCTGTAATCATGCAGGGCTCTGGTCGTTACAGGGTACAGCTCGGCCATCAGCGCTTTGGTCAGAAATACGTCTGGCGCAAGGCCTGGACCAGACGACTTCCGCAGGGTTTGAGATGGGGGCTGGATCCCAGTTTTGCAAATGGCGCTTTATTTATAATGGGCTGACCCAGAAGTTTGGATCCAAATACCCGGATCTTTGCATCCAGATCCAAACGTCGTGACGGCAGCTCGTGTGGCGTCAAACCAGCGAAATCGCGCAGGCAGGCCGGGGGATGTGCGGGAGAGTCCAGCTGCTCTCTCGGCCCTTTCTCTCCCGCTTGTGGGCCCCGGGCACGTTAAACTCCGGCCCAGCATTAGCCACCATTGTCTCCCCCCAGTTCCCTGCACGCAGGCCGAGGAGGGAGGGGGCCGCTCTGCAAGCAGCACCACGCTCCCCAAAACTGCCCGTCACCCCAACTAGGGGCCAGCAGACCAAGCCAGCTCTGGAGCAGGAGTTTCTCTTTCTGGAGGCTTTGCCATCAGGACAGGGTGAAGCTGACTCTCTATGGCAGGGGTGGGGAACCTATAGCCTGGGGGGGCTGCAGCTTGCCTGGATCTGCCCCCCCAAGGCTCGGGGCTCCCCTCCCAGCATTGGGGAGCTGGCACTCCAGCCCTGTAGCCCCCCTCGCACCCAGCCCCCCACCTCAAGCTCACTTCCTGGCAGCATATGCTCTGTGATGGGGCCAAAACCGAGGAGGGCCCCCGTCTACCAGCCTGGGCCCCCCAGGCTCTGCTGTGTGAGGGGAATGTGGGGAGCGTCTTTCTGCTTCCCAGTTGGGTTTTTTTAGGGCGGGTTGCTTGGGGGGGGTTGTTTTGGTTTTTTGCTTTTCACTCTTGTGCAGCCCCCAACCCAAACAAGATTCCCCCCCCCCCCCCCGCACTGTGGCATTCACTGCTCCAGAAATGCCGGTCTTCTCAGGGTTAAAAGGCCAACAGGGCCCCACCCCTCTTCTGTGCGATGCTCAGGGATCTCCTAGGCGACCGCGTCAGCCCTGCAGCTGCCTGGCAGGGGATGTTGAGGCTGGCGGAGTGGTGGGCAGAGCAGGACACGGGGCCGGTGGCTGCCTTGCGACCTTGGTCTCGGGGCGCCATGGATTGTCCTGCAGCCACCGCAGCCTGGTGGGAGCTAGTGATGGATGCCGATGCAGAGCAGACGTGGATTCTGAGCTGCCCTTTGGGTTGCTTGGGTTTGGCTCGGCTCGTCCCTAATGAGAAGCGGGTGCACGGGCGATCCCGGGCACTGATCTGCAATGGTGTGTGGTAGGCGGCAGGGGGTACAAGCCCTCTTCTACCTGGGCCCCTCAGCAACCCCCAGGCAATGCCCCGAGCATGCGGCTGCCGTCCCCTGCTCTTGGCTTCATGCCTCTTTGCCTCTTCTGAGCTCTGCCCAATGGGGTCTGGTGGCAGTAGCTTCTGGAGGCGGCTGCCCCCCTTCCTTTCATCTGCCATGGCTTTCCCGGCCCTTAGCCTGACCCCTCTGGAGCCGGGAGGGTTGAAGGAGACGGAGCTTTGTCCTCGTGGTGTGTGAGGAGGGTTTGAGGAGAGCGTCTGGTGTCCCTCCCCCACCTCCGTCCCCCATCCTAGCCCCTTCCCCAGGCAAAATACACCCATGCGCTGGGAGAGTATGGAGAGGCACCCACCTGCCCTGTGTGTCTATACAGGGAGAAGGGGGAGCCATAGAGCCGGGGGTGGGGACCTACACCACACTGAAGTACAGCTCTTCCCCATTGCCCCCCTGACTCCATGGTGGTGGCAGCTGCTTCTTCGAGAGGGCCGTGCTGCTTGCCGGCGGGGGGGGGTTGCCTCCCGCGGGGGCCTGCGGCTGGGGGGCGGGGGGCAGGGGCTCCCTCGCCTGGCTGTAGCTGGCAGTGGCCATGTACAGGCTGCGGGGTGACGGCTCCCCCTCCCCGCACTTGCACAGCCGCTGGAAGGCGGCCCGGAACTTCTGGGACATGAGGTTGTAGACCACGGGGTTGATGGCGCTGTTGGCGTAGACACAGACCCGGCAGAAGAGGATGAACCAGGGGTCCAGGAAGGGGTGGTCCATGAAGGAGTTCACCAGCACCAGCGTCCGGTAGGGCATCCAGAGCAGGGCGAAGAGGATCACGACCACCGCCAGCATCTTGGTGACCTGCAGAGGGGGCACAGCGGGGAGGCAGTGACGTTACTGGCTTTTCAATAGGGACCTGCAGCTCTTTGGGGCAGCCACTGGGATGTGTGTGCCCAAGGTTCTGGGCCGAGCGGGGCGTCTATGGAAGCGCATGCTCTGCTGGCTCTGTTCATGCTGCTCCCGGGCCTGTAGGATCTGTGTCTGTGGCCTTACGAGGACGGGCGCGGGACTGGACTTTGAAATGTTCGCTTCTGAGTGACAGCCACAGGCGCCGCCCACCTGTTGTGAGGGGCGGCTACGGAGCGAATAGCAGCGCTCCTCTGATGGGCCTTACGTGTTGCCAATCAGCACCTGAGGAATTCTGCTGCAGGCCGGCAGGTACGCCACGGCCACTAGCCTGAAAGGACGGGCAGGTGACTTGCTCCGGTGGCAAACCCCATTTTGGGAGGTACCATCACACAGAACAATGGGATTCCCTCCACGGGGGCAAGGCTATAAAAAGGGCCCTAGAGGTTCCTCCATCTTTGACTTCCCTCCTGCTCCTCACTTCAGAAGCATCTTTGCTACGGATAAAGGGCCCAGAAGGATTTGCTGACCCAGCCTAGCACAGGACGGGCTCCAGAGACTTTTAAGCCGGCAGCTCGTCCCGTATGCTACGAGCCTGCAGCAGGAACTTGTGATGGGTGGATGGAACGTGCTTCCCGTAACAATTCTACTCTCGACCTTTTCTTTCTTTTAAACCTGTGGGCTGTGTCTAGACTGGCCAGTTTTTCCAGAAAATCAGCCGCTTTTCTGGAAAAACTTGCCAGCTGTCTACACTGGCTGCTTGAATTTCCGCAAAAGCACTGACGCTCTCCTGTAAGATTGTCAGGGCTTTTGCGAAAATACTGTGCTGCTCCCGTTTAGGCAAAAGTCTTTTTCCAAAAAACTTTGGCACAAAAGGGCCAGTGTAGACAGCTCGGATTTGTTTTCCACAAAAAAGCCCCGATCGCGAAAATGGCCATCGGGGCTTTTTTGCGGAAAACCGCGTCTAGATTGGCACGGACGCTTTTCCACAAAAAGTGCTTTTGCGGAAAAGTGTCCTGCCAATCTAGATGCTCTTTTCCAAAAATGCTTTTAATGGAAAACTTTTCCGTTAAAAGCATTTCCAGAAAATCATGCCAGTCTAGACGCAGCCTTAGATTGTAGATTCCAAAGGCCTGGCACCGGGTGCTCTTTTGGGTAAGACGTGAGGTGTAAATTGACCTGGGACCGGGAGAACCTGTTCCGAGTCGGTGAGATTTTTAACCTCTCAGCGGTCTAAGGCGGGTGCTGGCTGTGGCCCAGGTGAGGCGAGGGTGTCTGAGGGGATTTCCTGTGTGACGTCTTGCTGGCCAGAGGGACAGCTGAAGTGCTCGGTGGCTGGATTTGTGCCTTACAGAGGAGGACCCCCAGTCGTGGGCTGTAAGTAACCCTGGTTCTGAGCAATTTGCCCCTCTCAGTGGTGCTCCCAGAACCTGTTCTATTACAGAGGACGAGCTGGGTCACTGGGCCTCTGGAGTATCACTAAGGGGACAAGTCACCTCCCACGGAGACCGGCTCCCAGACCACAACCTCACCCCAAAGCCCCTGCCCAACTGACTCCTCACAGCTGAAGCTCTGGGCAGGCCTCCCAAGTCACAGACTCCGGGGTCAGGCCTGGAAGCCCATCTCCCCGCCCCCAGCCCGGGGCTGCCAGGCCAGCAGGACCTGCTGACTCACATCCGGGGAGCTGCGAGGGCAGAGAACGATGGGCGAGATGCTTCCAGGGCTGGGTGTAGCCTTGGCATCTGCCAGGCTTTGCACAGCCTGCCTGGTACCCAGCTTGCTGTCTGCAGCCGGCGTTGTGCTTTGGCAGAGCCCCGAGGTGGGACGCCAGCCGGGCTGTCCCCGAATGTCCCCTTGACAAGGAGCAGGCCCTGCCTGAACCTGGCAGCCTGAACAAGCTGCCGGCTCCGGAGTGGGCTGAGTGCGCCCAGACGCAGTGGAAAGGAGACCAGCACCGGGAGGGCAAGCGAAAGCTGCTTTTCTGTGGCTCCCTCCCCACCATCCACGGGTTCTACTCCCAGGAAGGCGCTGCAGGGGCCGGGGGCCAGACGGAGCAGAGACAGGGCCTGCATCCAGGGTCCTGAATCCCCTGAACAGCTGTCCTTCCTGGGGGGTGCTGGGCGAGGCCCGGCGGGGAGCAGGCAGCCGCCAGCCTGGCCCAGACAGGACAAACCCACTGGAGCCAACGCCAGTCTCACCCCGGCTTCCCTCAGCAACAGCCCCTAGTTTCCTCAGCTTGCCTCTCCGCACTGGGAAATGGAGAGTGCAGGAAGGGGGGGGAATAGCTAGGGCGGGTGTGTGGGCAGGATCTGGTCCGGGGGCCCCGGCCTCACCCCACTTCTGCCAGAACGGGCCTTGGTCCTCTGTGGCAGCAAGGCCTAGAAAACCAACTGACACCCCCCCCTCCCCAGCTCTTCCTGTGCCCCACAGACCTGCCCCACAGCCCCCTGCTATCCCAGCCCTGGGCTCCCCCCAGGTCTGCCAGTGCCCCTCAGCCCTGTCCCACAGCTCCCTGCTATCTCAGCCCTGGGCTCCTTCCAGCTCTTCCTGTGCCCCACAGACCTGCCCCACAGCCCCCTGCTATCCCAGCCCTGGGCTCCCCCCAGGTCTGCCAGTGCCCCTCAGCCCTGTCCCACAGCTCCCTGCTATCTCAGCCCTGGGCTCCTTCCAGCTCTTCCTGTGCCCCACAGACCTGCCCCACAGCCCCCTGCTATCCCAGCCATGGGCTCCCCCCAGCTCTACCAGTGCCCCATGGCCCCTGGCTAGCTCTGCCCTGGGTGCCTCCATCTTGCTCCCACACACACTTGTGCTAGTTCACCTGAATTCTGGTTGGCTACAGATCATCCACGCCCTCAGCCAAACCCATGGTGGGGCTGGCTCAGAGCAGCCCTCTGGCAGCATTCCCCGTGGCCCTGGCGGTATTCCCAAGCTCCGAAAGGACAGTCCCATCTCTGAGAGGACGATCAAACCCCCGCTCCCAGCCATCAGATTTGCTCATTCTTCCCTGCGATGGGCCCGAATAATTTCCTGTCGGCAGCCGTTAGGCGATCTGAGATGCACGTCTCCCACGAGCGGTTCTGATGGCTTGTTTTCTACGCACGGGGGGAGGGAGCGACAGCGGAGCCACCTGTGGGGCTCAGAAAGCCTGGATACGTGTGTGGAGGACAGGTCCGTCCACGGCTATTAACCAGGATGGCCAGGGACGTGACTCCCTACTCTGGTCTGGCTGCCGGAAGCAGGCAGTGGGCGGCACAGGATGGATTACTAGGTGGCTGTTCACTCCCTCTGGGGCGCCTGGTGTTGGCCGCTGTCGGCAGACAGGACGCTGGGCTAGATGGGCCTTTGGCCTGAGCCAGCCTGGCTGCTGTTCCGTGGAACATCTCTGACATCCCCTCCCCACCGGGTGTTCTCAGTGCGCGGACTCTCCATCATCCCTGGCTCCGGCTCACTGACACCACTCCTAGACGTAGCCGCGGTCCCACCCTGCCGAGCCGTGCTGTGGGAGCAGCGCTGGCAGGGCAGAGCGCGTGGAGAACACCCCCAGGAGGGCTGACGTTGGGTGACCCGCCGGGAAGGAGCCCTCCTGGCGCCGCCGTTCCCAGCCTGTCCCAGGGTTTGACTGCTCAGAAGCAGTGACTGCCCGGCAGGATCAGGGCCCTAGCGCCGGCTGATCTTAACGCAGGGCTTGTGATCAGGCCCTGGACGCTAGCGTGACCACCAAGGTCAGCTCCCCTCCGCCCCGCCTGGCGAGCAGCTGCACAGGGCGAGAGCTGAAGCCCGGTGGCCCTAGTTGGGGGGTGGCCACTCACTAGCTATGGGGTGACTCCAGGAGTGCTCGCTGGGCGGTGACCTCGAAGCAGGATGCTCTGTCCCTGGGCTGGGCGGGCAGCACCCCCTCCTTCGCTTTGACAGCTGCGTTTGAATTCATCGCCAAGGCTCGGCCAGGCACTGACGGGCCCTGGCGATGCTGTAGCAATGCAGGCTAGGACGAAAGCAGCACCACTGAGCAATGGCTGATCCTCACAGGCCCAAAATACACACACGCGCGCACACACAATCTGATCAGCTCTGTACAAAACAGGGATTTCACACACACACACAGACACACACTATCTGTTTGGCTCTGTAGAAAATGGGAATTTCATACACACACATACACACTCACACTATGGCTACGTCTACACTGGCAGCTTCTTGCGCAAGAACTGTTTTGAGGAAGGGTTCTTGTGCAAAAACTCTTCCACAAGAGTGCGTCTACACTGGCATGTGCTATTGCACAAGAGCGTCTATGGCTGTGTGGACGCTGTCTTGCGCAAGAAAGCTCTGATGGCCATTTTAGCCATAGGGGCTTCTTGCGCAAGAAATTCATGTTGCCTGTCTACACTGGCCTCTTGTGCAAGAGCTCTCGTGCAAGAGGGCTTATTCCTCGTGGGGAGAGGAATAACTCTTCCAGAAGAAGCCCTGTTTTCTGATGCTGTACTGTAAATTTACTTGTGCAAGAATGCACGTGCAGTGTAGACATCCGGCAAGTTTTTGCACAAGAACAGCTGTTCTTGCACAAGAAGCCAACAGTGTAGATGTAGCCTATCTGATTGGCTCTGTAGAAAACAGGGATTTGGCAAATAAACAACAGAACATGAGTTGTGTCTAACGCTGCTCATGGGGCTTTCGTTCCCCCCACGGCACCTGCTCGGGGAGCCCGTCACTGGATTTTTAAGCGCTCTCAGTGAGGAGCCTGCATGTGTCAGATAGTGGCACATGCAAATGCTCATTGTCTCTTGTGCATGGAATTACTGGATCTGTTTGTGCGACTGTCAGCAAAGCAGGCGTGCAAACGTGCAACTGACTTTCTTGGGCAATCTGTAAAAATCAACCCCTAACTATGCAGCTCTGGGCACTGGAAAACGGGCCATCGCAGGTCAGGCAAATCCATGAACTGCCTCGCTCCTGGAGGTGGGGAAGGCATTGGCCCTGGAGGCATCTTTGAAAGATGGGAGGACCAGCCTTAGGGGCTGGCCTAAGAAGCTAGACTCGGAAACTTTCTAACAGTGAAATCTCCTAGGGACCGTCTCTGAAGAGGGGTGGGAGGGAGCCCGACAGCTTGGAGCAGCCAGAGACCTGCTGACAGATGTGCCCCCGCCAGCAGGTGGCCAATGCTTGAGGAGTAAATTAGCTAATGAGGCCTGTCTCCACCACTCTTCTCAGATCACTGCACATGGTTCCTGCCCTGTTGCAGCTGCCTGGGCTCCGACTCCGCATTTCACTGGCTGTTCCCCCAGTCCTGCCCGCCCGGGTTACAAATTGGGTGGCTGGTCATTATTAACAGGAGCAGATATGCGAGCTGTCCCTTGCCCGCTGACAAGGCCTTGACCACGTTGACATTGGGCAACAAAAGTGCTGTCGACGTGCAAGAGTCGCCAAAAGTGAAAAACGGTCAAACCGGTTTTTCTGCCTCCCGTTGTTGATATTTCATGACCATGTTGCTAGCATCCCTGGAGATAGAGCAAAGCATTGTGGGTAAGCATCCCACAGTGCATTGCAGTGGGACGGCAGAGCTGCTCTGTGAGCTCTCCGGGTTGAGGAGTGTCAAAGCAGCACAGCAGTCTCTCCAGCCCTCCCCCTGCAGCGGCAGCCTGCCTGCCTGCCGCTGGGTTCCTAGCAGGGCAGAACAGGAGCACTCCAGTGATTTGTTCTTTGTTCCTCAAACGGAGCCACTCGCTCATGGGCTGTCGGAAACTTCCCGGAGCTCTGAGAGAGGAGGGGAATGCATGCATGCAGGGCAGCAGAGATCACAGAACACTGAGCAGAGCCATCAGGGCAGGCATTGTGAGATACTGGTGGAAGACAGTTCTCTCGACAAAACAAACAACAAAGTCCACACTAACTCTGTGTCGACAATAAAGGGAGGGGAATGACAAACATCTCTCGTGCAAGGGTGGACATTTTTTGTCACCAAAACTGGGTGCCCTGCACCCGACAAAAGTCGCATTGTAGTGTAAACGCTCTCACTGTTTTGTCAGAAGCAGGTGTTGGTGATAAAATGTGCCAGTGTAGACAAGGCCTTTGTCTACACTGCCAATGGAACGACGAAACTGTTGTCGCTCACAGGTGCCAACTGCCTCCCCCTGAAATACAAGAGTGTTGCCATGGCAAGGGGCAGTGTAAACGGCACATTGCTGGCAGGAGCACTCTCCTGTCAACAACACAAACCCTGCTCTTGGGGGTGGAAGAATTTTGTTAGGGACAAACATAGGGCTTACATTGCTGTGTAGGGTAGACAAAGCCTTGTGCCACTCGCTGCCGTTAGCAGAGTTGCTATGTTGCTTCCTCCCCCTCACACCTCGGCTCCCTCCTAATAACCTGCCACAGTGACTTGCTTTCCCAGGAGGCGGCTCCCCTGCCTCCCCCAGTTTTGATGCAGAATAGAAACATTCGTTCCATCCCCTCCTTGGACCCTTTGGCCCGGCTGCAATGGGCCCTCTGGAAACTGGGCCGTGCTGCGCGGCGGTGTGTGAACCAGGGTTTACTGGGGCTCTCCCCAAAGTCAGATGCAGGGACTTACAGCCCCAGAGCTAGGTGTCGTGCCAACCTGCTGGCCCTGGGCAGAGAGGTCAGCGGGTGGTGGCTTGTCATCTTGTCCCTTAGTCCCCCCACACTCTACCACCTGCCCGTAATGTCCCCCTGGTTTACTATCCAGGCCTGTCCCCCCACCGGGTCCCTGGGCGTGGCAGGGCGGGGAAGGGTGAGCCACGGTGGCACTGGGAGGAGGCTGTCAGACACAGGGCAGACTCTGGGAATTGACCTCTTACTGCCCCCACCCCACATCTGGCCCGAGAGTCACTGTGACGCGGGATGTGCCCCCGCCTCATCCCCAAGGCTCAGCATGGGGCATGCGCGGTGCCAGGGGAGTTTGAAATCCCCCCGGTGCAGGGCCCGGCTGAAGGCCGATGCCTGTAGCATCAGTGGGATGGAGGCTTTGGGCGGGGCTCCTACACAGGAGGGGGCTGTTTTCCGCCGGACAGTCCAGCCAGACTGGTCCCCTCCTGGCTCTGTTGTGCCCAACTAGAACCTGAGGGCTGGTCGGGCATGTCAGGGGCCTCCCGTCCACCTCAGCCTGCTTAAATAAAGATGCTCAGGTCACCGTTCCAGGGGGTGCCTCGTGGCCTGTTTGGTTTCCCCAGGCAGCATGTGCCAGGAGCGAGTCGGGAGGCCCGGCTGTGCACCCGGCGACACTCGCAAGGCACACCGCCACCCAGGGCTCCAGGGAGGGTGCCGTACCTGCCTCCGAGAGGACAGAGCCCCTCGGCTCCTGCAGCGGCTGACGGGCTTGCTCCCCTGGGCGCCCACTCCATTCTTCTCCTTCCCGCTCCTCTCCCCCCAGGACTCGGCGCTGGCGTCGGCTTGGTGGGAGACGGGGCTGGCGAACAGGATTCTCCCGATCAGCCCGTAGAGCACGGTGGCCACACACAGCGGGGTGACAAAGAAGAGGGCGAAGTCGAGCAGGTAGATGGGCAGGTAGAGGTTGCGGGAGACCTTGTAGCCGCACTCCAGGTGCTGGTGCTGGGTGACGTTGATGTCGACCAGGAAGAACCAGAGCAGGCAGTAGATGGAGGTGCCGATCCAGACGAAGGCGATGATGCGCTTGGCCCGGGACACCGTGCACATGGTCTGGGCGCGGATTGGGTGGCAGATGGCGATGTACCTGGGGACGGGAAAGACAGAGCCGTGACACCGGCCAGGAGGAACGCTAACAGGGAGAGGTCCCTGCCCCCTCCCATGGCAGACAGGAAGGGGACACAGAGGCCTTCTCCAGCACATACAGCTGCACGTCCACACTGTCCACAAAGACTTGAGCACGCCAGGCTAGAGGGGCAGCTTGCTCGAGCAGCCAGGGCACTGGGCTGGGATTCAGGAGATCGGTGGTTCTGCTGAGTGGTCTTGGACAAGTCATTCCCCCTCTCCTTTGCCTGCCTTGTCTATTTTGAATCACTGGTGCCAGAACTGGAGGGAGGGTGAGCAATGGTTTAAAATCTCTCAGATTGACTTTAATAGCCTTAATCCTTAGCCGCAGAATTGTATTCCCCCTAGAACACAGGTGGGGAACCTCAGGTCCAGGGCCTGGATGTGACCCCCCCACCCCGCTTGCCTGGATCTGACCTCCAAGGCTCGAGACTCTCCCCCCCAGCATTGGGGAGCTTGTGTTGGTAGATTCTAACAGGTTGCTATCTTAATCTAGATAAGCTCACAAAACAGCACAGGGAAACAAAACCTGTATCACACTCCATTTGTTAAATCAACCCCCCCCCCCCCCCCCCCCCCCCCACACACACACACAGATTCCTGCCAGCTCCCTGCGGGGCTGGAGCACATAAAATCTACTAGCCTGCCCCCCACCCCCGGGCCCTGGTATGCGAGAGGAATGTGGGGAGCGTCTTTCTCCTTTTCAGTCGGGGGCCACGTCGGTGAGGTGGGTTTTATCTGCGTCTCACTTGCACGCGACCCTAAACTGATTTTTCTGTGGGTCAGTGGCCCCTGACCCGAAAACAGTTCCCCTCTCCTCGGAATAATAGTGTCCCAGAGGTGCTGCAATTACCCCTTTTACCCACCAGGGGCTGCTGTGGTGCAAGAAGAGAGGGCACAGGCAGCCACGGAGAGGGAGGGGGCACCCCCCCACACACACACACACACACTTCTACAAAAGTCCCAGTGCCCTAGTTCTGAATGTAAGCTCCCTGGGGCAGGGGCTTCCGTCTTTGAAATGTAGCAAGAGCCAGCAGAGGCATCCTTATCGACTAATCGATGCAAATTACATCGACTATTCGATTCGTTGATTAATCTAAATGTAACATCCCTAACCTATACACTGAAATGAGGTTTACCAGAGCGGCCGACAAAGGCTTCCCTTGTCAACCGTGGCGCGTCCAGACTGCCCCGCTGAGCCGCCAAACAGCTGATCGGCACCGCGCGGCAGCCATTTTGATGTAAATGAAGCGGCCATTATTTAAATCGCCGCTTCATTTTCCTATGTCTAGTAACTCATCTACATTGCTCCATCAACAAAGTCATGTAGTCTAGACACACCCTTAATGAGCAATGACAGGCCAGGAATGTAGCTACTAAAATGCATCTCAACAGAAGACCACTCTATTGACTCCTTTCTGGTTTTGGTCCCACCCGCGGGCCGCATGTTTAGAAGCCCTGGACTAACAGTTGCTCCCATTGGCCAGCAGGAGAGCAGCCTCTGTGAGAGGCCGTGATGGGCTGGGCCTCGTTAACATTACCGCTAATTGGCTTCTTTCAAGTGTGGCTCACCAGAGGCCAAGCACTGAATAGGCACCAGAGACTGAGCTGCTGTCACATCCCTAGAGGGGGTCTGCTTGTCTGAAGGTGAGGGGAAGCTTGCCCTGCCGGCAGAGGTCTCCGCTCCCTAGGGCCACCCACCCAGAGCAAAAGGGCAGGCCATATCCTCGCCCACCTCTCCACGGTGAAGGCTGCGATGGAGCAGGAGGAGACGTTGATGCCCAGGTACTGGAAGTAGGTTATCCCGAGGCAGCCAGCGTGCCCATAAATCCACGTCCCCGCCAGGCTGTCGGAGACATTGGGCAAGCCAGCAGCCACCAGGACGGTCAGGTCGGCCACGGCCAGGCTGACCAGGTAGCAGTTGGTGGGTGTCTTCATCTCCCGGGTGGTGAGGACCACCAGCACCACCATGACGTTGCCCACGATGCCCATGCTGCAGATTGCCAGCACCAAGAAGACCGAGATGGCCTTGTATTCGATCTCGTCAGAGACGGCGGCGTTGCTGGCCAGGGAGATGTTGGTGGGGCTGTCGAATTTGCTGCTGTTCTCCATGGCTGGCAGCAGGGGGCGGTAGGAGGTGGGTGCTGGCCCCGCTGCTTCCCTACGGGCTCCCGGATGGCGCGGCTCGATAGGTCACTGGAAGGGACGGGTCAGTTCCTCCAGACTCCAAGACACGGTCTGTGTCCCTCAGCCCCAGCCAGCCACTCGGAGGCATCACCAGACCAAACCAGCTCAGCCTTGCTTGCTGTGGGAAAAGCACAAAGGAGCAAAATGAAGGACGGGCACCTCACAAACCACCTCTCCCAGGGCCTAGCCCAGCGAACCTCCGTGGGCGACTGATCCCCCATTGGCTTTCCCACCCAGCCCTGCTGGCACCGACCCAGCCCCTAACAAGGGCAGCATGCGGTCAGCTGTCCGTCGTTCCTTAGCCAGCTGAACCCCACGAAGCACGGCGGGATCCGAAGCAGCAGGACGGGAAAGGGGCAGGTGAAAACGGGGAGCACGAGGGGTCTAGATCTGCCCGTGAACTTGGAGTCCGAGTAGCAAGGGAAAAGGGGGCGGGAGGAACCGAAACGGTGGGGGAGGGGTGAACACACTTACGCGTGGGGGTTGGCCTCGGGAATACAAGCAGGCTGGAAGACTCTGGAGGAGCAGGGGGCGGTCGCGCAGGTGGCTCGGGTGGCCAGGTGTCCGGTTTTGAACTGGACAGTCCAGTAGTGGAGCTTTCTGTTCGGGAAACAAACTGAGAAAATAGAAACGTCGGGTGTTTTCTAAATAAGATGCAATGTCGACTGTGATGTCATGGCAAGTGTCTCCCGTATTTTGGTTGAAACCATCTGGCAACCCTACAGGGGGCTGGAGAGAAGCGGCGCTTTGAAGGGGAAACTGGC